CCATACACTTTGTAGAGGTCTTGTTTAATCTCATTTGAAGTTTTTCTCCACATTCCCCCTCACAGCATCAATGATGATTAATGATGTCAATCTTGAGCTAGCCTTTTGCTTTAATAAGAGGTTGTTTTAAGTAGAATGCATGTGTTTATTATGAAACTTTTTCACACGTAACATAGAAGTTGTCTTCCTAAGAGCATAAGCTGATATGTTCCATTTACAACCATCAATATTGCATTTGACAATCATCTTTTTAGGGCTGTTTCTCACAAACATGTAACCAAACCTATGAGCAAGGCTGTATTTTATAGTGCTTTTTTAAATACAATTGCATCATCAAATGTTTGACCAACACCCATAAATAAATCCTTCCATTTCACCAAATTAACCTTAGGCAGTGGTGTAAGAGCATTTTGTGTTGAACATGACAAAGAGGGTGATATACTTTGAAGCTCTTGCCCATAGGGAGATCCTGGCAGTGATCATGATAACAAATCCTCCATCCTACATTCAAAATTACTCGTAGGTCAATTTAAATTGTGATTAAACTAATTAAAAACACAAATAACTAAGAATAACAACTTACTCCATCGAATAATCCATTGCTCCATATATTTCATTACCATTGCTCTCAACATGCACATGTGCTGACTCATCATTATGCTTTATCAAATGTTGTACTCCCTCATCATCTAACAAATCTATGTATGTGTTTTCACTAAACTTCACTGTAAATTTCAAGTCAGCTACACCACTTTCAACTCCTGTCACTGATGACACCATCCTCAACTACTCTTCATGATTTATACCTTCTGTAATCAATTTAGAAATTAATCTACCACCATAATGACCTTGAATTTTTTAAATTACTTAAAAAATTTCAATTGATATTTTATTTAAATTAGTTCTATCACAAGTAGAAAGTAGTAGTTTTACGGAACTTATGCTAGTAAATATTTTTGAAGACCAAGAGTTCGGATTTTACTAAGCAAAAGTTTGATTTTATTTAGTTTTAAATTATAGGAAAAATTTGTGCCCATCTTGTAATATGCTCTATCTTGTAAATTTCCCAATTTCTTAAAATCTAGATTTTTCTTCTGTCCTCTATGATTTGAACTCCAGAGCAGTGAAAAATAGGGAGATTTTCATGCTTTCTCGGCCTTCTCCCTTCCTCGCTATTGTTCTTCACTCTTCTCCTCACCGCCACTGTCATTCATCCGCCTTCTCCCCACTATCATCCGTCCACAACTGGAAGCTAGGCGAAACCCCTCTCCCCTACTTCTTGTTGCTAGACATTCTTCTTCGTTAGTTGTTGTTGGGCTCGTATGTTCATTACTGTTGCTACTAGAGACGCTGTCACTGTCGCTGCTAAAGTCACCATCATCCACCACTGTAAGGGATTTCATTAAGGTTAAGAACTCTCTTTTTGTTTCCATGTTGTTGTCTATCTGTGCTCCCTGTCTCTGTATCATTGCAGTGTTTATGGTTAGCCATGGAAGCTTGAATCTCTCCCTTCACCTCTCTTTGATCCTTAGGTGAGTGAATCTCACCTTCTCCTCTCTTTAGTCCGATCCTATGTATGGATGTGTTAGTGAATAAGGTTCATATTTTTTGTTCCTCTCCTTTCTTGGCTACCGTATGAGTATGGAAAAAGAAAATGATAAACTGAGTTTACTTCAATTCACAAGTTAGTTAATTGTTGTTGGTTGCTATTGATTAAGTTGGATAGGAGTATGATCTTTTCCTTGAGCTTGATACTGGCTTGTATGGAAGTATATATATATATATGTAATAAAAATAATAATTAGGAAATTTGATGAACTCAAGTGTTGAATAAAAAGGAAGATTAATATTGGTTTGAGGATTAAGGCCTGTAAGGTACTTGATAAAATGTCTAAATGTGAGTTTGGACATATGATGGCGAGATATGTGTAGTACATATATTGTTGTTGATTAAACAATTACTAGAAGAGAATTAATCTCTTTAGTGGATGTTGGGAAGTTTGATTAGTTTAAATTATTGTTATAGGAGAACTTTTAGAAAAGGAAATTAGAGCGAAAAAGGGATAGTATATGTTTGAATATGGATATACTTGAGGTATTTGTAAAAAGGCTTAAGAGAGACTAGATTCTAATTGGGTAGTTAACTATGACTAAATACTAGAGAGAAATCTTTATGTGTAGATTATGGTCTCAAAACACTCTAAATTTGTTATATTTAACTATTAGTTGAGTTAACTTTGAAAGGGAATTTGTGTGAGACGAGTAAAGGTTATTAATTAATTTTCTATATATAGTTTTATAGGATGTTGGAAGCGAAGCAACTTTTTAAAAGTTCAAAAAGGAAAAACTTTGGATTTTAGGAAGCTTGATAGGTAAGTGGATAGCATCCCAATTGATTTTTCAATAAAGATTTCCTTTACTACAATAGTATATTTTTATGCAAATTGTTTTAGTAACAACGATGTGGTTATTGAGTAGTTTGTTTATTAAACTTCTTTATTTTGAAAAATTACCTTTATCAGTTTTGAAATTTTAATTAATTAATAAATATAAGTTTAGACTTTGATTATGAGATTTCATTCTATCGAACATTTGATTGATACGAAGAATGATTCATGCAAGTTTGACTTTGAAAATGAAAATTTTATTGTGGAAGTGATGAATTTCTTGCATGTTTGAAAATAGATTTAAAGGAAATTTTATACAAAATACTGGTTGCTAATAGCAATTTTGTTAGCCCTTAGCGCGCCATGATTTACCTAGCTAGCAGGGTGCTTGTAGAAGGTGCTAGCCTCGTGCGATGGCCAACGCACGTGGAATGGAGGATGGTTATTCGTGAGCATCATACTCACATTTGATTTCGTGGCTTTGAGCTGCATTTGGTTAGCATTACCCTCGTGGACTATGTATCCACGTTTGTTTCATGGCTTCGCCTGCGTTTAGTTATTTACTCTCGTGGATTGTGTGTCCACATTTGTCTTCGCAGCACAGGCCGCGTTTGGGTTATTTACCCTCGTGGACTATGTGTCCACATTTGTAAATTATTCTGATAAGTCCCTATGATTATAAATCTGATTATTTGGTAATTTTATATTCCATTGGTTTTTTTATTTAATAATTTATTTACAAGTATTTATTTCATTTATGTGACTTATTAAAATTAAGTGATATTAACATTTGCTATGATAGTTCAATGGTTTAAGATTTTATTCAAAATTTTATAGAGCCATTTTATTCTGAAGTTTATACATTTTTTATAAAAATTGTTGTCTCTTTCACTTACATGATTATCTCAAACCTTTTTTTTATTCATGTTAAATTATTTATTGTTGGAACGTTATTCACTGAAAAATTATTTTGGTCTTAGATAGCATAATTGACGCTATATGTCTTACTTACCAATGATGGATGTTTGCGGAACAGAATGAAGGTTTGTTCTGTAAATATGTCTTATAGATGTAAATATGAAATTTATGTATTATGTCATGAGATATATGATTAAGTGCTCTACATAACTTATAATTAGAGTCCTTAGTTTATTATACATTTTGTCTGCTAGCTGGAAGGAGCCGAGCTCTTGATGGATATAATGTTTAAGGAAAATTTTGTGATACAAAATTTTTAGGAGATCCTATTTACAGAGAAGATTCTATCAAAATTTTTACAAAAATATTGAAATAATTATTATAATGATTAGTATCAATAGTATTAAAATGTCAGTGTAAAACTGAGTACATTTTAATTAAATGAAATAAACCTTGAATTTGTGGCTTACGAGATGTATAATGTGGTTCACATCCTATGCCGGTCACTCTATTTTTTAGGCATGACACCTACCTTCATAAGTCATCTTTCCTTGTGAATCTTTTACAAAATGTCTATCAACATGAAAATAATAAAATACTTCTTTTACTGAATACTTGCCATATGGGAAATAAACCTGGAACAACTAGAAGCAACATACAAATTTATTATTTCACAACTATCTATTCCATAATCCCAACCATGACTACAGAAATTCAGCATCCATATTGCATGTTTCAACATTCACACACTTTCTATCATAGATTAGAAAAATTCAACATCTATGTTACATCTTTCTTGTTTTCACTCCTCAACTTTTTCAACTACGTCGTTCTCAGAAATCATTTATCATGTATGTCTATATATATATATATATTCTATTAATTATTAAGAAGATTACTTTTTCCCTTGGTATAAAAGAAAGAGAAATGGTGCAAGACAGCATTTGCAAGGACTAAAACATTCTTTGTGTGCGTGCATGATAGAGGATGTGTAAAAAAAATGCAAGAAGAAGATGCAGATTTCTCTTGCATGCATGACAGAAGACAAAATATAAAAGAAGCAATGCATGTAATTACCTATTAGAAGAGAGGAGAAGATGATGACCTAGATGATTATGCACTCCACTAATTTTTCCCTAACATTTTCTGCAAACGAGAGCACATCATATCAGAATTTTTCCCACCCAAAAACAAGAAAACAAAGGATGAGATGAGCTTCTTTCCTGTTACCTTTCAGTGTTTAGTGAGGGGGTAATTTTGTAAAATCAGCTTTGTTTTTTTATCCCAATTGGGAGTTATATATTTTATGGTCCCCAACTGAATTAATGTCCTGGGGGGTCCTTAATTGTCATTTTTTTTTTTTATTTGACCTGCTTGTTTCTTTACTTTTAATTCTCTCCAAATACACATTCATTTATTATATTTCAAACTGATTGAGTCAAAAACATTTTTAATTAAAGAATCACACCTCCAATAAATTAGTTAATTGTCTTCAAGTTAACACCATCTTTTTATATTTACTCTTATTTAATTGCGTGTTTAACTTTAAAATAAATATAAAATAATTTATTTATTATGGGCACTTTTAAAAAAAATTAATTATACCTTGAAACACTAAAAATACCTTACATTTCTTAAATTTAAATCCTTAAAAAAATACTTTATATTTTTTAACAGAGGAAGTAACAATTTAAATGTTTTTGGAAAACGAGGACAACCCTATGCATATTATTCAATCATTTATTCTCTATACACACCACACATGACACTCACTGGTAAATTAAACTGCGCCTCAATACATAAAAATGTTCTTATATCCTGACCAATATTTCTATAATTTAGGAAATAACTTAATTACGAACTTGACGAGGCCAGGAATGTGAACATTCATCATATAGTCTGTCCAATCAATGCTCTTGGGGTCGAATTCAACATTCTCCATCTTCGTTATCATAGATAATTTTTGTGTGTTGGTGTCATCGAACCTGTCATGCACAAAAATTGATTCTTGGTTAATCACGAGTTTAAATTAATACACACACACATGAATGTATCTAAAGTTTCCTTTTATACTTTAAAAGGTAAAAGAACAAATTGGCTTTTATGAAATCCTAAATTTATTTTTTTTGCAATATTTATCCTTTCAACTTTTAAAAATAATGCAATCTAATCTCTATAACTAACAAGAGTTAACTTTAACCATTAGTTGATTAGTAAATTATAGAAGAGGACCTCAAAAATTAAAGAAAAGGACCAAAAAATTACAGTAAATAACCAAAAAATTATAAAAAATGACCAAGGAAATTTTATTGGTCCATTTTTGGGTAAATTTTAGGTTCTCTTCTATCATGTTTTGGTTAACTAATGGTCAAAATTAACTTTTATTAATGAGAAGAACTACATTATACTGTTTTCAAAAGCTGAAATGGAACATTGCACTAAAAAAATTTAGGCACCAAGTTCTTGGGCATATATAGTTTAGGGGTCAATTTTCTCTCTTACCCTACTTCAAGCTTATGAAGAATAGTTAAGGAACATACACTGCCTTAAAAAACAAATATGGTTTGAAAAGTTTAGCCATTCTTATCAACAATTGGACTCTTTTGTCGTCGATACTGTACCAATCTTCGAAGACATGGAAAAACGCATTGCTCACCAAATTTAACACCTTATGCACAAAGTGAACGGAGATTAGTAAACAGTGTACATAAAGAGTGAAGCACATTTTTACCCTGAATATATGCTCGAAAGAACTTTAGACACCCTAAAAGAATTAGTAATAATATAATGTAGCAAGTAATAAAATTGGTGTAACTTTTTCCTTTTTAATTGTCAACATTAAATCAATGTTAGGTTAAACAAAAGTTAAGAAAGTTTCTTATCTTATACTAACAGGTGACATAACATGAACTATTAAGAAATGACAGTATTTCACCGATTTTGAAATATTATGTGATACACTGTTTCATAATTTCCTTTGAAAAACTTAATTGTAGCTCCTCGAGAATACTTCTAAGGTAAAAATGTACTTTAAACCTTTACATAATAACACAACGATGCATTTATTATTAGGCACAAATAATGAGGACATGTATCAATTACCTTTAGTGGTAGCACATATTGGATGATCAAGAGTGTCTGAAAATCCAGATCTGACAAAAATCTTAACTTTGAGATCGTTATTGGCGATCCAGTTTTGTTGGTCAATGGGTTTTTCGAGAAATAAAGATTCGAGAATTCACAGACATTTGAAAGTCTGATAGGATTTCTGGATGAAGAACAAACATGGTAGACGAAATTCTCTAAATCTTGATTAATGGAATGAATCACCGTTGCTGCCACCATGCAATTTGTCACCATATCCACAGGTATCTATGTACAATCACCATTAATAGTATAAATTTAACATACTGGTTTAGTTTAATTTTTTATGAAATTAATAAAGTACATAAATTTAAATAAGAGAAATAACACCTGGTAATGCCAATTATAGTCTAACCTACCACACCCATTATTGTCGTAGGATCGCCAAGAAAGTTTGATATTGTTCCTTTACCATGGCCACCAATTATACTGTCAATTGTTCTGTCAAATTTTCAAGAGACTTGCGTGAGAACGATGAACATAATATATCAAATTTCAACGACGAGGCTATAGTTGCAAAACCGGAAGGATATACAGCTTTTCTTTTTGCAAAATTTTATTCAAAAAATAATCAATAATCTTATAAGAAATTTTTCTGGTAAAGAAAATCATGACTTCTTTTTAATAACACAAATGTATTTTCATCGTTTCCCTTGCTGAGAATGTTTTGAGCTTTTTTTTTTCACTTTTGAAGTAGACTAGAAATATTACAAATAATACCCACACACGCATACCCATCAACTATGGTGCGTGCGTGCGCGTGTTGAAGTAAGATGAATTGATATTATAGGTTACTGTCTCAATAATCATATTAATCACCAGTAATATTTTTATAATTCTTATTATTTCATGATAATACGCTTTTATCAACAACTTTTTAGAAATTCAACTATTATTAGTAGCAGTAATATTGAATACCTGAAACCTTCAATCCATCCACGGAAGGGTTCTTTGATTGTACTTGTTATCACGGAAGGACGTATGATGATTAAGGGCACATTATCTTTGTAAGTTGACAGAATCATCTCTCCCATTGCCTTTGTAAATACGTAAGGGTTTGGCCATCCATAGAAGTTTGCTCTGATAAATTCATAAAATTTAATTTGAAAGAATTAATATCTATCTTCACACACATATATATATATTCATATTATGTACATTATGTTTATTGGAAAAACACAATCATTGATATCTATAATTGTATTAAATTTTGTTTTTAGTTCCTGTAGTTTGTTCTCAGTCATTATAAGGACTAAAAACACTGAAAACACTAAAATTATAAGGACTTAAGAAACAAAAGTTACCCAATCTTACTGAAACTGTAGATGTTGAAAACACTAAAAGAAAATTATAGGGACTAAAACTAAAACTTGATGAAACTATAAGGATTAATGATTGTGTTTTTCCATGTTTATTCAATTAGGACTAGAAAGATCGAACCTTTCCATTCCATAATCACTCATTGCAGAAGTCATAGCCTTTTCACCAACGTTCTCTGCTTCAAGCTTCTTCATTCTTTTCTCCATCAATTCTTTCTCTGATTGAATGTCTAATTTTGAATTCCCTTTTATTGTCTGACCCATCTTAATTGGTTCTTCTTTAACCACTTTCTCATTTGTAGCTTCTCCGCACACATAAGCTAAAATTATTACATTACATAACAAGTTAATTAGTACTGGATATATGTGGCAAAAAATAAACATACAATCTAAAACCTCCGTTGTCCAATGAGGGAAGGGACAAGATAAAAATATGTGGTAAGTCCTATATTGTATCCCTGAAGTACGTAGAAAGATAGACATAAAGATGGTAAGTCCCATTTTTGGGTGGCTTGTATATCAAAAGCGAAACCTACTATTTTCTATGTATCTCTTTACTTTGAAAATCATTAGGATCCCTGAACTTTTAATTTGAATCTATGCACAATAAGACCTGCTACATATATGACTTATCAATTACCTCTTTGTCTCTTTCCAATTTAATCATACAACCGGGGGGGGAGTCTTGACTCTATGCATGTAACATTCTAAATTTTTGGGCAAAGATGCTTAAGAGTAAGCTTGAATTAAGTAGGCTACAGGGCCCATTTGACCCAGAGTCCTAGAAGTGCTCTGAAAAGATAAAATGACTCTTAGGAATTAAATCACAAGTTAAAAGTTTTTTCCAGGGCAAAAGTGTAAACATATTTGGAGACTATATGGAAGTGTCTAGAATTGGGAAACGAGCCAATTAAAGTCCAAAAGAGTTCATGATAGGATAGGGAAAAAAAAAAAAGGTAAGCTGCCTAGGAGAGTAACAGTAACATCTAAGATCAATCTTAAAGCATAATTAGTATAATTGAAAGGTAAAACAAAAGTAAAGTTAATTGACAACTGTAGCGGTCTTGGAATGCTTGTTATATGATTACTTGAAATCATGAAACTATATATAAAATTATGTTTGGGATATGTCATAGACCTATGTGTTTTATCATGTAAGTTACAAGCATGTTATAATGCCAAACTTAGGTTGTATGTTTGTATGATGATTGTTTGCTATTGGGATTATTTAACCACAACCTCCCTAATGATTAACCATATTAGGTTATAAGCATCCAAAAAAAAAAAGAGCTAGAGAAAAGAAGCAAGAGTACGTGGAAGAGGAGATAAAATTTCTATGGCATTACTTTGCTAGGAACTTGAAAGATGTACAAATAATTACATGAGATAAATAAATATATGATGTGACCTTGGCATGAATAATTGAAATGTTAATATGGATAATTACCAATATGGAGTCCTAGACTAGCCCTAAAATCATGATTTTAATACATATGATTATGGCTACTTAGTTGAGGCTACTTTCAGAGCATGATTCATTATACAATATATAGTAAACAATGTCCAATGCTAATGAAACGGTTTGTGTGAGAAGTAGACATATAGATCTCTCTAACAAGTCATAAACCAAGTCAGTTTAATATGTAAACTCGAGTTATGAATTTTCAAAGTTATGGCATAGAGATTTTATTTGGGAAACATAGCAAGCTTAGAAAATCAATAAACTACATTTTTTTTTTGGAACAGTTAAAGGCTAGAATTATATTTTTCTCTTGCAAATGACTTTAAGAACTTTCAATATAATTTTAGAGCCCTTCATATGATCGATTTTTCTATATTTCGTTGTTATGTTTTAAAGTTTAGCTACAAATGTGGACATATCAAATGAATAGTAATCCGAGAGACAAATATCCAAATTTTAATTTCAAGGCTTCAATTAATTACCAATATGGAGTCCTAGACTAGCCCTAAAATCATGATTTTAATACATATGATTATGGCTACTTAGTTGAGGCTACTTTCAGAGCATGATTCATTATACAATATATAGTAAACAATGTCCAATGCTAATGAAACGGTTTGTGTGAGAAGTAGACATATAGATCTCTCTAACAAGTCATAAACCAAGTCAGTTTAATATGTAAACTCGAGTTATGAATTTTCAAAGTTATGGCATAGAGATTTTATTTGGGAAACATAGCAAGCTTAGAAAATCAATAAACTACATTTTTTTTTGGAACAGTTAAAGGCTAGAATTATATTTTCTCTTGCAAATGACTTTAAGAACTTTCAATATAATTTTAGAGCCCTTCATATGATCGATTTTTCTATATTTCGTTGTTATGTTTTAAAGTTTAGCTACAAATGTGGACATATCAAATGAATAGTAATCCGAGAGACAAATATCCAAATTTTAATTTCAAGGCTTCAATTAATTTTCATGTCGGCTTTTGGTTTCATAATAGAATTATCAAAATAAGGATGTGGCAGTCTATCTACCTGTTGATACATGGAGAAAAGCTTGTATTTTAGGACAACTCTTTGCAAAGTTTAAAATATGTAAGGCACCCATTGTGTTGATGCTCAATGCAAGATCAAATCTGCATTGGACATTTGAAACATTTGCCAAATCAATCAAATTAAGCATGTGTGTGTGTGTGTGTGTCAATAAGGCAAATTTCACATAGTTTTTAGTTACATACCTTTCATCAAACTTAGTAGTTGCAGCTGAGTTCACTATAACATCTATTTCTTCTGTAATTTTGTTTCTGACATTTTCATCAAGTCCCAAGTTCACAAGAGAAACATCACCTGCAATGGCTTTCACCTTCTCTGACATGAAAGAATCAAAATCTGCCCCCATCTTATCTCGAAGAACCCTAAACAATTCCTTTCCCATGATCTAGGCATTACTCGCATGTAGAAAATAAAAGTATATTAATCAGAAAAGTGTTTGATTTATGTGTCTTTATAAATTGAATAATGAATTCATCAAATTAAAAAAATTATGAACTTCATCATGCAAGCGCTGTGTAGCTGCATTTGAGTCAGAAGCTCTTAGAAGAAGATACAATTTCTTCAAATCAGGCTGAGTCCTTAATAACTTCTCTATAAAAACTGCAAAGGCAAAGAAACAGTAAGGGATGAGATACATACATATTCCAAGTTAATGATTTGTGTTAAGATCAAACTTAATTGATTATTACTTTAGAGAATGGCAAAATATCTTAAAACTATTTCAAATCATATTCGATACTTAACTCAGTGATTATGAAAACGATCATCTCTATAAATCAATTTGTCTTATTGCAGAATATTGTTAGCAAATTGTAATTTAATAGACAACAACTAATTGAAGACCGTAAAGTAGGAAATTAGATGGTGTGAGAATATATTACTTGGATAAATTATAATGGGGTGTGAGTGAACTCTCAATAATGCATAGACTTGCTCTGCTAGAACATCCCCTTCCCTCATTCTAGAGAGTTCTCCAAGTGAGAGAACAATGCCTTCGGCAACATTGATGAGCAAATTGAGGTTGGAGAGGCTTGAATCCAAGTCTGAACTCGAGGTTTTGAGGGATGAATCGATGGCTTTGTGTTTGGCATGTTCAGGCTTTCCGAGAATTTCAATAGAGGCAATGATTCGAATTTTGAGATTGAGAAAGTTGCCTCTGAGTTCATGATGGATTTGACATATTCAAGGCGTGGGTTGAGGATGGAGAAGATTTGGAAATGGCTAGAATTGAATAATCTTTTTTAGGATCCTCACTTCTGGAATTGGTATCTTCCCTCTAAATCTATTCACTCTTGTTTTGAATGCCCTGATTTAATTGGTATATTTCTATGATATGTTTAGATATTTGTTGGTTAGTTTCATCCCCTAGATTTGAATTTGGGTTGGTGGGAATAGGGGGTGAACTAGGCATCATATTACTTCTTGTTGGGAGTCTGATTCTGTGATCCATTGATTCTTTGATTCGGAAGTTTGCTTGGATTGATTCTCTCTCTATGATGAACAGGAGGTTTGCCTGAATGATTGTTGACGATAAGAGTGGGTTCCACCAGGTATTTGGTTTGATTTTTCAGTGGTTATGGTGATACCTAGGTGGTTAAGGCTTCCATTAATGCAATGGTTTATTGTGGTAATCACTATGAGAGAAATTCTTGGATGGAGACAATACAACATGTCATCCATGATCAATTCAATAAAATCATGATATTTAGATAGCATCAAATATAAAGTGATTCTGACATAAATAATAATAAAGAGATGGAAAATACAAGAAATTAAATAGCCATTTTATTATAAAAATAAAATCATAAAAATAATGATATATAAGATTTTATTTGATTGATTTGGTGTAATTTTATTGGATACACCATGGATGATATGGTGCACTAGGTCCATCTAAAAATTTCTCATCATGATACATGAATCCTTCCCTTTTGATGTTGTTATTAAATGTGGAGCTCCTTGCCGCTACTCAACAATTATCAATTTCATCTCTTATCGTGGTCAATCACAGGGTCTCAAGTAAAGTTCCCCCGATTCTTAAATGTAGCACTCAATTTTTTTAAGGTTAACTGTTATTTTTATCCTTGAACTGTACATGAAAGATTAAAAATAACACTAAACTCAATTATAGGTCAATTCTATCCCTTAACTTTAAAAATTCCATTCCTCATCACCCTGCCATTTTCTCACCATTAGTTAATCGTTAATGGGCCTCACATTATATTTTTAATTATAAAATATTTGAATTGGAGGTACCCACTGACCTTTTAAATAGAAGTTTAGGGACAAAAATGACCCTTAACCAGATAAAAAATATTAAAAAATAGTGACCTCACTGATGACTAACGGACATTAAATGTTTTTATCATCAGGGTAATGATAGAGGGAATCTTTAATGTGGAGAGACATAATTAACCCATAATTGAGTTTATGGTCATTATTTGTGACCTTTCTATACAATATAGGGATAAAATAACCCTTAACTCATTTTTCTAACCCATTGTTCCTTATTATAATACATTGTTCAAAATATTTAAAACTATTTCATAGTCACACATATAATGAATTTTTCCCTGACCCCTAATAAATGATTTTACCATCATAAAAGAAGGAATAAACTAACATTTAATTAGAGGTAGATTTGAAAAGAAGAGGAAACATTTAGACACAAACCATCTCAACGATCTCAATGATATATTTTGGCAACTTAGTATTATGGATCTAAATCTTCTGAATTTGAGTGTTCATTAATTCATGTAAAGTTTTCCCTTTTTTTGTTAGTATTTCACTCATTTTATTATTTTTATATAATATAAAATCTTCTTTTTCTTTCTTGAAAAACAAACTTAATGAAATTTACAAATTCTCAACTTCAGAGGATTTAAATCATAGTATTATATTTAGGGTTAGATGGAGTACAAGAAAAGACAAGAAGATGTGAGGTTCACTTATTGAGTTTTTTCCCATCATACCCTTCAATTATTAATAAAAAGTATAGGAGGTGTATGGTGAAAAAACTTATGTTATATAATATTTTAATAAAGGTTAAAAATTAACAACGTTTCTTAGTATGTGTGATTTATAATGATATATAATATTTTGATAAAGGTTAAAAATTAACAACTTTTCTTAGTATATGTGATTTATTTTTTTCCCTTGTGATATATTAATTGGGAGTGGTGTTTATTTAAGACATTATCATAGACATTCCATTCCCAAATTTTTATTTTTAACCTTTTCAACTTACAAAGTTTGATAAATCTATACTCCCTATGTTATAATATATAAGTTATTTTTAACTAAGTAACACAGACAAAGAAAAATAAGATGTCATAAAAATTTTCGTCCTTCCAAATATACCCTTGATCAATATACTCAGCGCTCATATTATCATAATCCATCATAAATCCTAGTATATCATTATCTGGAGTTTTCGAAAATAAATCACTAGTTGCTATAGAATTCTACAAAATGACTTATATTTTGAAATAAAAATCTTCTAAAATATAACCTTAATTTGAAAATGACTTATTAGACATTTAACAGATATATTTTCATTTTTTATTTTATTTCATTCAACTTGTTCCCCCTTTCTAATTGCTTTCTTATATGTATACCATTCATACTTTTTTTTTTCATTTCTTTCACCCTGCTTTTCATTATTTCAAATTATTGCTAACTTGTGAGACAACCTCCTATATATTACAATTCGATAATACTGGTTTTATTTTTCAAACATGCATTATGCTTGTAATTTGCATTAATATACAATAAATTAAAACTAAAGAGAGCAGAATCAATTTAAACATTGACATATTACTCTCTTTTTAGTACAAAAATATTACTTTTAACTAAACCAATAATCATCAATAATTAATTTGGTTAAGGTACATTTTTACCCCCGTACTAATAAAAAGAGGATAATTTTATCCCTAACTATTTTTTTAAAGAGCGCTAGGCACCTTATAGAAGGGGCTTTTTGCTCATTAAAAAAAATTCAGGGGTAAAATTGCCTCATTTATTAATACAGGAGTAAAATTGCTTTTCAAGGAAAAGTTTAGAGATAAAAATGCACCTTAATCCTAATTAATTTCACCAAAGTCAATTTATATGAGCATTCTAATTCCACCAAAATAAATCCATAAAATTTCTTTTGCAAACAAAAAAAAAAAAAATTAGTCACTGACTTGTATGCGAGAACAGAGAGATAATCCTACGTACTAGTGATGAATCTGTATTTCTGTCGTAGATTGGAGTAGAAAAAGAACCTATCACTAAGTAATTAAAAACTGAAAAAACTGTTGCAAATATATCGTTGGCAAGGGGATGAAAAATTAATATTTGTGTGTAAATTAAAGATGATGGAATACATATGTACCTTTTGCTAAGAAGCCTGTAGCACCAGTCACTAAAATGGTCTTCCCCTTGAGAAATTGTTGTGCACTTTCAAACTCCATCATTTACAAAATACAAAGCAGCAAAGTTTTACTTCTGAATAAAGGATGATATCTAATTCTGAAGATACGGGAAGCTATTATTTATAGTTGATGTGGCTGTCCTCATTGGCTCATCATTGGAAATGAAAGGTTGTTGGAAAGTTTGACCATACTAACTCTGATCTTCAAATATAATGACACAGTTTTAGAAACGAATTTAAAATTAGTTAATGAAGTTGATTTTTAGGGGAAAAAAGGGGTTAAAGAGTATTTTGCCATGGTACAATTTCCTTTTCAATTTTTAAAAATGATGTATTGAGTATCCTGCTTTTAAAATGTTAACTTTGAGTCTTTGACCATTATTAATTGACTCAATAAATTATAAAAAATGACCTAAAAATTATAAAAAAAATACCCAGAAATTTATACATAAGTACCCTATTAATATCAGGATACTTGGTAATTAATGGATCATAATCACTAGCAACAAGACCAATAAATAATTAAAATTAGTTAATGAATTTTATTTTTAAAAAAATTGCCAAAAAATTCCAAAACTATATATCCTCCTTTAATTAAGTCACTAACTCATATATCAAAAGCCAGTCAAAGATGATAATTTTTAATAGATTGAGGATTAATTGCATGAGAGGCATTTTTGAAAATATATAATAAATACTTACTAAATTTTATGGAAAAAATCTTATATTATTGATCATGAGAAATTTATTTTTAAAAAAATTTCAAAAACTATACTTCCTCTAGTTCAAAATATACACATTTTCTCCTAGTTGATCTTAATCCAAATATAAGCAGTTTAGTATATGTAAAAAAAAAAAAAATTCTACTTTACCCTTAGTACTTATTAACCTATTTCTTGTGATTGTGAATTTATCACATTCTTCTCACTCATCATAAATTAGTACTAAAGGTAAAAAGGAAAAATATATATTTTCATGATAATAAGATTTTATTGGTTTGTGTGATATTATTAAAAGCTACTTATATTTTAGACAAGAGGGAATATATCCTTAATTAAGTCACTAACTCTTCTATCATAAAGCCACCTAAAGATTATAATTTTTAATAGATTGAGGGTTAATTGCATGAGAGGAATTTTTTAAATACATAATAAATACTTCACTAAATTTTATGAAAAAAAAAATCTTATATTATTGATCATGAGAAATTTTAGAAGGGATGTGTTAGGAATAAGGGATGGCATTGCCTCAATTTTAAATATAAGGCATTTTTTCCTAATATGCAAACACAAAAAAACTAAAAAATAATTAGGTAATTTATACTTGATGATTTTTTTTATTTAATGGAATGGACCATATTAATAAAACGTATAAAATTAATTTTCAATGTACTCTTAGGAGTTTTAGGTAAAAGACATTATTACCTTATATATTTTTTTGATCTTCAAAATGTCTTATTGGAACATAAACTCCCAAAAAAAACAAAGAAAGAAAAAACAAAAAGATACTGATAATTTTATATTGAATGAACGTATCTACTTTTAACAAATTAGGTATCTATTATTTATTGCTAGGGCCTAGCTTCCTTGGATTGACACTCGTGAAGGTGGTTGGATGAAATTAATCACCTATCACCGATATGCGTACTATTAGCATTTGGGAATATCTATGCTTTTTCATTCGAATTTGGCAAACACTGAAACGTTGTAGGTGTAACTTGAACTTGATCGCAAGAATGGCTTCAGCCAAGTGAACCAAAGGTTCTTGGATCCCTCCCTTTTTTTCTATAATAATAAGACACTTTTACTTAATACTCCATCCGGTAGAAAATATAAGTAATTTTCAATGTACTCTTAAGAATTTTTAAGTAAAAGATATTATTACCTTATATATTTTTTGATCTTCAAAATGTCTTATTTGAACATAAACTCCCACAAAAAAACAAAAGAAAGAAAAAACTTTTCAAAAAGATACTGATATTTTGGCAGAGGCTATAATATCTGATACTTCAAGCTTTTAATTTTATATTGAATGAATCGTATCTACTTTTAACAAATTAAGTATCTATTATTTATTGCTGTGGCTAGCTTCCTTGGATTTGACACTCGTGGAGGTGGTTGGATGAAATTAATCACCTATCCTGCATGCAGAGATATACCCATCGATATGCGTACTATTAGCATGGGAATATCTATGCTTTTTCATTCGAATTTGGCAAACACTGAAACGTTGCAGGTGTAACTTGAATTGATCACAAGAATGGCTTCAGCCAAGTGAACCAAAGGTTCTTGGGATCCCTCCCTTTTTTTCTATAATAATAAGACCACTTTTACTTAATACTCCATCCGGTAGAAAATATAAGTAATTTTCAATGTACTCTTAAGAATTTTTAAGTAAAAAGATTATTACCTTATATATTTTTTTGATCTTCAAATGTTGTTTATTTAACATAAACTCCCAAAAAAAACAAAAAGAAAGAAAAAACTTTTCAAAAAGATACTGATATTTAAGGCAGAGGCTATAATATCTGATACTTCAAGCTTTTAATTTTATATTGAATGAATCGTATCTACTTTTAACAAATTAGGTATCTATTATTTATTGCTATGGCCTAGCTTCCTTGGATTTGACACTCGTGGAGGTGGTTGGATGAAATTAATCACCTATCATGCATGCAGAGATATACCCACCGATATGCGTACTATTAGCATTTGGGAATATCTATGCTTTTTCATTCGAATTTGGCAAACACTGAAACGTTGCAGGTGTAACTTGAACTTGATCACAAGAATGGCTTCAGCCAAGTGAACCAAAGGTTCTTGGGATCCCTCCCTTTTTTTCTATAATAATAAGACACTTTTACTTAATACTCCATCTGGTAGAAAATATAAGTAATTTTCAATGTACTCTTAAGAATTTTTAAGTAAAAAGATATTATTACCTTATATATTTTTTTGATCTTCAAAATGTTTTATTTGGAACATAAACTCCCAAAAAAAAAAAAGAAAGAAAAAACTTTTCAAAAAGATACTGATATTTAAGGCAGAGGCTATAATATCTGATACTTCAAGCTTTTAATTTTATATTGAATGAATCATATCTACTTTTAACAAATTAGGTATCTATTATTTATTGCTAGGCCTAGCTTCCTTGGATTTGACACTCGTGAAGGTGGTTGGATGAAATTAATCACCTATCACGATATGCGTACTATTAGCATTTGGGAATATCTATGCTTTTTAAAGAAAAAACTTTTCAAAAAGATACTGATATTTAAGGCAGAGGCTATAATATCTGATACTTCAAGCTTTTAATTTTATATTGAATGATCATATCTACTTTTAACAAATTAGGTATCTATTATTTATTGCTAGCCTAGCTTCCTTGGATTTGAACACTCGTGAAGGTGGTTGGATGAAATTAATCACCTATCACCGATATGCGTACTATTAGCATTTGGGAATATCTATGCTTTTTCATTCGAATTTGGCAAACACTGAAACGTTGCAAGTGTAACTTGAACTTGATCACAAGAATGGCTTCAGCCAAGTGAACCAAAGGTTCTTGGGATCCCTCCTTTTTTTCTATAATAATAAGACACCTTTACTTAATACTCCATCTGATAGAAAATATAAGTAATTTTCAATGTACTCTTAGAATTTTTTAGGTAAAAGACATTATGACCTTAAATTTTTTTATCTTCAAAATGTCTTATTTAGAAAAATAAATTCCAAAAAAAATGAAGAAAGAAAAAATTTCCAAAAAAATACTGATATTTAAGGCAGAGGCTATAATATCTGATACTTCAAGCCTTTAATTTTATATTGAATGAATCATATCTACTTTTAACAAATTAGGTATCTATTATTATTGCCAGGGCCTAGCTTCCTTGGATTTGACACTCGTGAAGGTGGTTGGATGAAATTAATCACCTATCCTGCATGCAAAGATATACCCACCGACAAGCGTACTATTAGCATTTGGGAATATCTATGTTTTCTTTTATTCGGATTTGGCAAACACCGAAACGTTGCAGGTGTTGTAGCTCGAACTTGATCTTTCAGAAAAACTTGATATTTAAGGTAGACATTATAATATTTGATACTTCAAGCTTTTGAATGAATCATATCTACTTTTATCGAATTAGGGATAGATTGATTTATTATCCGGCCCTAGCTTCCTTGGATTTGACACTCGTGAAGGTAGTTGGTGTCACACTTAAAATAGAGGGGGACTGGCACGGGATAAGAACCACAGCACACATCCATCAACCCTAAATCAAGAAATCTTTTCATTACTAAAACAGATTATATTTATATGAATTTTATAACATATGACCATTTTCGTATTAATAAAATCTTAAATTTTTTGGGAGAAATTTCAACAAAAATTTTCTTATAGAATATAGGATCTTCCAAAAACTGAATAACACAAGATTTTATACAGAGATCATTTTAATTAGGAGCTCAGCTCCGTCCAGCCAACAAACAAAATATTTAAAAAAATATGAATCCTAACTATAGTCTATTCCACACCTAATATATACTTTATGACATAATACATAAATTTTCATATTTATAAAGTAAAGAGATATTTACACAACAGATCTTCACTCATCTCAGCTAAAAATCCCTCAGTGTACCGCATGACGTACAACATCAGCTACATTATCTGATATCAAAATAACTTTTTGTAAATAACATCTCAACCATAACATTTAATAAAATCAAAATGAATAAAATACAATAATTTATAAAATTAAATGAGAAAGCAATTTGATGTAAATAAATTTGTAAAATTGATATAAGAGTTCTACATAACTACAATAACGACAACATTTAAATTTATAATGACAAAACAACTTTAACATTTGAGATTGACAAGTTAAAATGATTAAAATAAATAAGTAAAAATTATTTACTAAATTTAAAAATTATCATATATGAAATCACTAATAATTAAAAATTCACATATTTTTGAGGGATTTATCATTTATCAAAATAATTTACAAATATAGACTAAACAACCAAATGTGGCTTATAA